AAAAGAAAGAAAAAAAAAAGATTCCATGGACGCCGGATAACACGATTCCGCCGGAAATTCACCATCATCAAACACATGCAACACACCCCTAACATCCCCATTAGAATAGCTTGACTACAGAACCACAAAACCCCCCATTGTTAGACTAACATATGATTACCAAAAAAAAAAAAACTTAAATAATAACACAAACCCTAAACTGTAACTTGTATGTTCCCCCTCCCAGCCCGCCTCCCCAGTTCCCCCTCCCATCCGGCCTCCCAGAACCGGCGGTCCGAACACCAAACTATCACAGAAAGCACACACAAAACCCACCGAAACAGAGGCACACCCAAAACCCCCCGAAACGGAAAAAAACAGTAGCAAAAAAGGGGGATTGAGATTACCTTCAATGGGGACGCCGTTTGACCTCCGTTGCCTCTTCGATCAGCGGACAGTAGACCCAACCATGTTGAACGCCGTGGTTGTGATGGAGAGGGAGATAGTGATGGAGAGCGAGAGTTATGATGGAGATGGAGAAGGTGATGGAGAGCGAGAGTTCTGATGGAGAGGGAGAGTTGTGATGGAGAGACGCAGAAGACGAAGTGGGTAAGGAAAGAAGGTAAGAAAAGGTGGGAAGGGTCAGAAGATACGCATATTACCGAGGCAAAATTAAATACACCTTATAATTACAGTAATTGCGAAATTACACAATACTCCCTAATATCCTCTTAAGTCTGATGCACGTGGCAAAAAGACCCAAATCATCTAGACCATTCATCTAAACCAATTAAGGGTCAGAAAAGGTGCTCACGAGCTCACCTGCCAAGGGGGTGTGCACCAGATCCAAAATCTATATATATATATATATATATATATATATATATATATATATATATATATATATATATATAATGAAGGTTGAAATAATAAATAAATAGCAAAATAAAAAAGAAAAGCAAAGCCGGTGGGAGAAGTCCGGCGGCCAAAATTATTCGCTAAGTTCTAGAGCTCTTTGCACCGTATGTGGTGACCGATGGGAGATGAACCACATAACTAATGCTGTAATGTTATGGGGAGATGTATGAGAATAATAGTGTTAGAATATGACAACACGTACAATTTCTCCATGTTTTACATTATGGCCGGGGATCGGAGTTGAGTGGGTGTATATATGTAGTATCTTAGGAATCAGTATTTGTGCACTTAAGTTGGTTAACAACTGGATGGCTATATATATCTCATCCTCTCTAGAAATTAATGCGCCTTTTATAGGTGAGGCGGGATGAACATATAGGACTATCGATATGTCTTACATGTGTTGAACGTAGGTTGGGCGGTCATATATAATTGTCATGCCAAGTGTTCAGATGAGACTGAAGAGATGATGGGATGTGATTTGATGATTGTTCTATTCGAGAAGTATCTTTGAGGTAATTGCACGGCAAAAGGCTTAGCGACCGGTCACGTTAATGGACTTCCTGGTCAAGTCGATTTATATTCCTTTAACCAACCAAACGTTGGAATACAATTCCTAAATCTATTCTTATACATCACGTTTGGTTCATGGAATGAATTTTGAGGTAATAGGAATGTTATTCCATAAGGATTAGAATAAACAATGAATAGAATAGGAATTGTATTCTATTGTTTGGTTCGCGGAAGGAATAGACTTTAAGATTACATTACAGTGTTTGGTTGATTTAAGGAATTGAAATGAAATATGTTTTAAAAGACATAAATACCCTTATAAAAATATGTGATGGTGGTGGCGGTGGTGATGGCGATGGTGGTGGTGGTAGCGGCGGTGGCGGTGGTGGGGTGGTGGCGGCGGGGGTAGTGGTGGCGGTGGTGCTAGGGTGGTAGCAACGGCGGTGACGGTGGTGAAATAGGAAATAAATTTAATTGGGGGTAAAATAGGAAATAGAAACTTTAGGTTATTCCCGAGAACTCAGGAATAGCCTAATACCAGGGGCCCAGGAATCTCTATTCCCCTTGCAAGAGGAATATGTCATTCCCGGGAACCATGTTTCGGGGTATACAAGTGGTTACCAAACAAAAGAATAGACCTATTACTGGGAATGCTATGTTATTCCAGGTCTATTTCGTGAACCAAACAGCTCATTAGCGAGTCAAACAAGAGAATACAATTCATGTTCTATTCCTTACATATTCCATTCCCTATGAAATAACATTCCTATTCCCTCCAAATTCATTAACGTATTGTTAGAGAAACATCCTCAATTTCCACTCACCGATATCGTCTTGCTCCAATACAATAACAAATTATGGTAAATTATTCTGAACTTCGCTACTAAATTAAACCCATAGATATGTCAATGTACAACTACAAATAAAGGAAGTAGAGTAAACCCATGTATTATGAAATAATTCCAAGAAATACACCATGATTCCCTCTACCTACTACCTAGATTGCTACATTCACAATTTCACATCCCCCATCACAAATAAAAGCCACAGAAACAAAAAGAAAATAAGAAACTTAAAACCTTGCCAAAATTGTCAACTAATTGGATAGGTGTTAAGTTGCATGTCAGAAAGAAAGAAAGAAATATTCCACAGGCCCCAAATTTCAAAAGAAAAAACAACATGTTGGAAGTGATACCCCACCTACCCCATCTACTGGGCCCACCCCAAGATATCTTTGGCCTCTACATACAATTCATTTGCTGATAGATAGATGTATCTATACACAAGTATAAAGTGAGGTTTGAAAATAAATATTTTTTTAAAATAAAATAAAATAATAAAATGCAGGGGCTTTGGCTTCTAGAACATCTAACAACTGTGCAGACCAACCTAACCCCCATGTTTGCTTACAAAGTCCTAAATACTGCAGTATTCATCGTTATGTTTGACCTTACAAATCCTCTGACCAAATCATTATTGGAGCAAACCGTGTTACATGCATATACATACATACTCTTCTTACCAAATATAATAATAGCAATAATTCTTTTTAACCTAAAGAAAATGACACTTAACTTTAATCTTTCAATTATGATCATGACAAGAGCAAAATTTAAGTTCGTTATCGTCTAATTAAGAAAAAGATCAGTGAACCTGTTAACTCATACATTCGCTAGAGCTGCAGATTCTCAGTCTGATTCTCAATTTTGGTACTCTGAATTGTATTTGTTCGTTACTCGCTTTAACGAATTAATACTAGTTTTAATTTTTGTTTAAAAAAAAAAAATTACATAGCGAATAAATGAAAGAATAGTTAAAGACAAAATATTATTTCTCCATTTGTTTATATTTTTTTTTTTTATTTAACTTACGTAAATTATTTTCTAAAAAATATCCCCACGGCCCACTCACATATTTTTCATTTTAATCACTAATGTTTAATTGAAATACAAGTTATTGAGACTTGGATCAACAAACTAAATCAAGTATTTAAAAAGTAAACTTTTTTGTTTGTTTCTTAATTATTATATGGATATAGTAAACCTTAACAACACATTTGGTTCACCAACTAAATATTGGAGGAATTGTGTGATTTATATTCTTTGTATAATTTGTAGACTATTACACATGAGCGAGATTTAATTTACTTAATAAAACCATCAGATAGTACTTACAAGTTTCCTTTGTCTTCCAAAAAATACACGGAGTATATATTAAGAATATAAGTCTTAGTCCATCAAGAGTGGGATAGACACGAGTAAAGTATGTATTCTGTTACACTATTTGGTCTGTTTGAAGAATAAGTTTCAAAAATTATATTTCGAATCGAAGGGTTAAGAAATAGAAATGCAATAAACATTTAATCGACAAAAATACCAATAGTGTACTAGAGAGAATGCGTTATAAGGTAATATATCATATTGATAACTTTCGATTTAACTCAAAGCAAACCCTTTAAAAAATGGGTATCAATAAGATTATACTAGTAATTAAAGGGAGTGTAGGATAGGGGATAGAGCTGCGAGATTACAAGTGAAAAAGGGAGAGATCAGAGAGACGATATATAGATGCAATAACCTAAATAACACTCTAATTATCAACTTATAATATCTCTAAAATCATGTCCGTAATTCCACTAAATTCCAATATCTAAACTCGTATTTGTGTGTAATATACTAATATATACCAATTACATCCCTATTTACAAATCGAAAATTCAAAAAAGGTGTTTTGTTTTGCGGCACGTTTCTAAATCATATTACAAGTCTTATATTTTGATTCGTTATGTTTTGTTTTTTTCGATACTAACAATAGTTCAAAAAAAAAAAAAAAAAAGAAAGAAAAGCTCCCCGCGTAAAGGAACACGCAGAAAGGAAGAAAGAAAGAACAATCCAAACACAATATAATGCAATATTTTTATAAATCGTAACAAATATTGAAAATTCCAAAAAAAAAAAAATGAATAATTAAAACCTATTTGGTAAAATAGTTAGCATATCAATCAATTTTGTCTTTTTTGATCACTATTAACTGTTTGACTTAGTTAAATAATCAATATGAATATTTGATTAATTATCTTGTTGTAACAGCTTATTGCTCCAAACACAAATATTTAAAAAGTTGCTCAAAACAGTTTTTTCGATCAAATTTTTGAAAAGTCATTTTGTATGTAATCAACTATCCGTTAACAATTAATTTACCAAACATCATTTTTACAATCAGCTAATGCTATCAATTAATCAGACCCACTAACTCAATCAGCTAACAGTTATTTACCAAACAATCCTTAAAACTAAAACACCAAAAAAGAACAGTCAAATCATATTCGAAATTCGCTTTTCGGCTGGCTAGAGCATACATATGTGGGAAACTGTCTTAGAAGGTTTGGAAATTAAGCAGCTTCCAATCAGAGTGCAGGAAATAAAAGTCAACAGGGCAGCCATGTCATTTCATCACGTTCAACCAATATTTTAGACTTGTGACTTCTTACCCACTAAAAATATGTTATTTTATTGAATTAATATTTATTTATTTAGCCTCCACGTCTACGGAGAAAAGATCCCGCCCGCGAGTGCATGTTATTGTTGGTGTCATCTCCTCTCATTTCTATAAATGTATAAAGGAGTTCGCAAACCTCATTATCTGTGTCTCTTTAGAGATAGCATTTGCTTCTTCTTCTTCTCCTTCTTCTTCAACACTACTATTCGCCTTTGAATTGCCGTCTTTCTCCGATCTGATAATATTCCGTTTATCTCTTCTCGATTGATCGATTGATTTCTCAGTCATACAACGATAAATTAAAGTGGAATCGAATTGAAGATGAAGATCACATTGGATTCGATTTTTACGGGATGTTTCAGGGCGGCGCCGGCGGCCGGGAATGACGATATGCCGGCGACGCCGAAGAAGCCGAGGAGAGAGGCTATTACGAAGCAGGCGTCGTTTACGAGGATTCCGGCGACGGAGCTGAGCTCCTCCGCGCTGTCGGAGGATCTGTCGATCTCGCTAGCCGGTTCCAACATTCACGCGTTCACACTGCAGGAGCTGAAAGTGATCACGCAGAGCTTCTCCAGCAGCAATTTCCTCGGCGAGGGCGGGTTCGGACCGGTCCACAAGGGCTTCATCGATGATAAGCTTAGACCGGGTTTGAAGGCCCAGCCCGTTGCGGTTAAGCTCCTTGATTTGGATGGCTCCCAAGGTCATAGAGAATGGCTGGTGAGCACGCATGAAATTAAAATCATAAAATATTTTATTCTCCATTTTTATTCAATTTAATAAATCATTAATTTTTTATTTATTTTTTTCAATAGACAGAAGTCATATTCCTGGGTCAATTGAGACACCCACATCTTGTGAAGCTAATTGGGTATTGCTGCGAAGAAGAACATAGGCTTTTGGTCTACGAGTACATGCCCAGAGGCAGCTTGGAAAATCAGCTCTTTAGAAGTACGCCATCTTTTACCACCCCTTATTATTATTATTATTTATATAATATATAAATATAAATTATTAGTTTAACATTTTAGTTGAAACATGTTCGATAATAAATTTTTCGGGTAGCTTTCAAGTAGACTAAAATGGAGTTTTAGGACGGTTTTTGTCAAATATTGTAAATGGAAGATAAGAAAAAAAGAAAAAAAAGAAAAAAAATGCAAGTGATTTTGTCACAGTTGACCTAATATCATAAAAATTTTAGTGATGCTTTAACAAATGTGGTTGGTGGAGGGGCTTTTATATAGTCCCCAGATTTTTACCAAATCAAAAATATAATTAGAATTAGTCTGCACTGCTCATTGCATATCTTGCCTAAATTCAACGTTATTGGTTGGTTGAGATTAGACCATTAAAATATTATAGCAATTCTCCCACGTTGTTAAGCAAACATAGACCTTATCATGTCATAAGTATATTATATATACTAAAGTATATATGTCTTTCATTAAATGAGTGGACAAGAAATTTGTCAAATTAGTATCGTTTTATGAAATATAAATATCAATACTGTACATAAAAACGTATTTTATTCGATTAAATTATTAATGACGATACCGTTATGCGACTCGATCACGAGGTCTTTAGCAATTTTTTTTTTTTTAACTTTTTAATATTGAAATAATATAATGTAGGATATTCAGCATCACTTCCATGGTCAACAAGAATGAAAATTGCTCTTGGAGCTGCAAAGGGTCTTGCCTTCCTCCATGAAGCTGAAAAGCCTGTCATTTACCGCGATTTCAAAGCCTCAAATATCTTGCTAGACTCTGTAAGTAACATTTTTTACTCTTGTTTTAAATGATGAGATAACAACATTAAATATAATTCGGTTAAAATTAATCTTAAAATTTTACTATATATTTACTTATCAAAGTTGTACAATTTTCTCCAGGATTATGATGGTAAGCTCTCTGATTTCGGACTTGCTAAGGATGGTCCGGAAGGTGACGACACTCACGTCTCCACCCGTGTGATGGGTACCCATGGTTACGCTGCTCCAGAATATATCATGACCGGTAAAATTACAATCTTATCTTATATTATAATAATTTAATTTTTATTAAAATATTTTGTGAAAAGAAAAGAGAGTTATTAATAAGATTTTTTTGTATTTAATTAATGTTACAGGGCATTTGACTGCAGCAAGTGATGTGTATAGTTTCGGGATTGTGTTACTTGAATTGTTAACCGGTCGAAGGGCAATAGATAAGACTAAACCAAACAGGGAACAAAACTTGGCGGATTGGGCACGGCCGCAGTTAAAGGATCCGCGGAAACTCCGGCGGATATTGGATCCGAGACTGGAGGGAATGTTCTCGGAGGCCGGAGCACAGAAGGCGGCGCTGCTGGCGTACGAATGCCTGAGCCACCGGTCAAAAAGCCGGCCGACAATGAGCACGGTGGTCAAGACACTGGAACCTCTGAAGGATTACAAGGATGTTTCATCTGTAACATTCGTGTACACAGCCCCGACAGAAAAAGATACAAAAACAGTAAGTACTGAAAAAGATAATAAAGGGGAAGAAGAGAAAAAGGAGTTGAAGAAAGAAAATGAGGAGCACCGCCACAAGCACCACCACCAGCACCACCACCACCACCACCAGAACCGCCATCATCAGCATGATCAGAAACACAGGACGAGAAGTCCCAATTCCACGACGGTTTACTCTGAAACAGCTCTGCAGCAGAAATTAAGGTCGAATAACTCTCCGTTACATCATGGAATGAAGAGAGCTTAACCGTATCAAGATAAGATGTTGCAAATCAAATTGTATATATATATTTGCTTTTGTATCATCAGCAACTATCAGTATACGATTTTTCATTTCTTGATTTTTTTTTTTTGTTTTGTTTATATAAAATTTGAGAAGTTGTACTTACCCTTTTGATCAGTTAATAATATACACCGGAGTACTTTTTATGGATACATTAAATTTCTCATCAGAAGAGATAAATCGCGAGTTATCCAATCAGTTATCAATTTTTTTACCTTTGTCTGTATACGTACTTTTGCACCTCTTATCAATTTTTTGAATTTTGGATCTCCCAATGACCCTCATGTCTTCAATTAATAATAATATACTTAAAACAATAAATAATGTCATGAGATGTTAAAATGTGTTTGCAAATTGCTCCAGCCAAGTTAGTTAGATACTATTCTAAATTTGACTTTATGTGAGAGTTGTCTATTGGTATTATTCGTTTGATGCAATCTAAGTTAGTTTACCTCACCATGATCCTTTATCAGATAGCACCTCCAAGTAACGGCTAGTTTTTGTAAATTTTAAAAACAATGGTTTTTAGAAATAAATATATATATATATAATGAAAAATCACAAATTTAGTTCTTAAATTGTTAATCTGCAAACTTTTAAAACTTAAAATGTATTTATACTAGTCCAAACTTACATACTCTTCAAATGTGAAACAAAAACTCCTTTAGGGGCCGTTTGGTTCACGGAATGTTAGATTACCTTAGGGAATGTTAGATTACCTTAGGGAATGTTAGATTGCTGAGAATGTTAGATTACTAGGAACGTTAGATTACCTTAGGGAATGTTAGATTCCTGTGTTTGGTTAAAATTGAGGTATGTAATATAATCATGTTTGGTTTAAGACCGGTTATCTTTTATATATATACACTATAATATTCTTAACATATTTTCATATATTTTTATAAATTTAAAAATTAAAATCAATAAGATAACGGTACCATATATAATTACATAACGTAATAAAAATAAAAAATATATAATTACAAAAATGATTTTATATATATATATATATATATATATATATATATATATATATATATATATATATATATATATATCTACTATACTAATAAGAACCTAAGAGAGTTAGGCCTATAATAGGTAGAAAAATTGGCGGTCAAATTTTTTAATCAAGTGAATGGCTCATATTGATCAGATTTTAATTTTTCCTTGAGATTTCCTAATTTATCCTTAATGAATATGATTATCCGTTAACTTTTCCGTCAAATATTATCTTTTCCGTTAGTTTCTGTTAGTTCACCGTTAACTTACTCATTGATTTTAATAAGAAAGGTCTCAGGTTCGAACCCCATCCCAATCAAATTAAAGTTGGCATAATTAGTACTCTATTTTACTCTTATTAAACTAATAATAATTAATAATTTAGTAGCTACAACAAAAAATAATACATATGCATTTCTTTAATTTAAAATTATTTGTGTACAATGTTTCAATAAATTGATAACAAAAGTCATATCTTCAAGACTTAAGTGCATCTCCAAGAAACTTATTGGTGTGCACCAGACAAGCTTTGTCCCAGGTAGACAGATAACAGACAACATAATTACCTACCAAGAAGTCCTCAACTCTATGAGATACAAGCAGGGTATGTCGGGGTGGATGGTGATGAAGATAGACTTAGAAAAAGCCTATGACAGACTCTCATGGGATTTTATTGAAGACACACTTCAGGCAATAGGATTGAATCAAGTTTGGATAAGTAACATCATGAATTGTGTCTCTACTTCGCGACTGGCAGTAATTTGGAATGGTCAGAGGACCGACTGGTTTAGACCCGGAAGAGGAATTCGTCAAGGGGATTCCATTTCTCCTCTTCTTTTTGTTCTTTGTATCGAGAGACTAACTCACATTATACAGGAATCGGTAACTAATGGGCGTTGGAAAGGTATTAAAATTTCTAGACATGCTCCTTATATTTCTCATCTCTTTTTCGCAGATGATTTAGTTCTTTTCGGCGAGGCGACTGTGGAGCAAGCTAGGGAGATGAGACGCTGCCTGGATCGCTTCTGCACCAGCTCTGGCCAGAGGATCAGTCTTAATAAATCATCACTGTTCTTCTCTAAAAATACAGATATAGACTTACAACATGAAATTGTGGAAGCTGCTGGTGTTCCATGTGTTCCTGATCTAGGTGTATACCTGGGCATCCCGTCAATCCACGGTAGACTGAAAGCTGACTCGTTTGCAGGCATCATTGAAAAAATCCAAACTCGTTTGTCAGGTTGGAAATCCCACACCTTATCATTCGCTGGAAGATATACGCTAGCCCAGTCAGTTCTGTCCTCTATCCCCTACTACATGATGCAGACAACATTGATTCCAGCAGGTGTTTTAGACAAAATCGAGAGACTCACCCGAGACTTTCTTTGGGGCAGCAAAGAGGGTGAAAGGAAATGCCATCTCGTAAAATGGGAAACAATCACCAGTAACAAGGCCCAAGGTGGTTTGGGCATTAAAAGGTTGGAGCTGATGAATCAAGCGTTTCTAGCCAAACTAGGCTGGAGATTACTACAAGGAGATAACAGTTTGTGGTCGCAATTGTTTATAGCAAAATATGGTATCACTAGTGCTGATTGCTCTAATTGGAAACCCAAGGCAAATATGTCTAATGCGTGGAAAGGGATATTAAAGTCTGTTCCTATTCTTCGTAAAGGCATAAAAAAGCAAATAAGGAATGGAGCAGACACATTATTTTGGCTTGAAAGCTGGCTCGAAGATAGGCCTCTGATTGAGATTGCAATAGATGATGTCTCGCAGGTCGACCTGACCAGATCTGTTGCAAGCTATTGGGATAGTAATTTAGGCTGGGACTGGAGTCATCTCAGTTTAAAACTTCCACCTGAATCCATGAATCGACTAGCTGCAGTCATTATACATGATGAACAGGAAATGGTAGACATCACTGGATGGAAAAGTGAGAAATCTGGGAACTTTTCAGTAGCTTTAGCTTACAACCTAGCCAGCGGCGCTTCTAAACCTGTGGAAGCTGCCAAATGGAACAGTATATGGAAGCTTAAAGTGCCAAATCGTATCCGCATCTTCCTATGGATTGCCAGTCATGATAGGATCATGACTAATAAGCAGAGATTTAGCCGTGGGATTACTTCAGATGATAGATGTCCATTATGTGCTGATAAGGTTGAAGATACGGAACATGTTTTGCGGCTATGCCCGGCAGCGGATGGCATTTGGAAGGTGATATTGGCAGAATCATATGAGAAGCTAAAAATCCTTCCTTTCACAATCTGGTTTCAGAAAGGTATCTCGGATATTGGCAGAGGCCATTCCCCTGAAATGCCCACCACCCTCTTTGCCACAACGTTATGGTGGGTGTGGAAGTGGAGAAATGAATGGGTATTCAATGGCTCTGCAAAATCGCTTCCCTTAAAGATTGACTGGATTCGAATGCAAGTTGAACAGACCATTAAGGCCTTCGGAAGATCAAGGGGGCCTTCTTGCTCTAATGAAGTTGCGACATGGAAACAGCTCTGCTGGTCTAAGCCACCAGAAGAGTTTGTAAAAGTAAATATTGATGGCTCTGTAACCACCAGCAACAAAGCCTCCTGCGGGGGTGTAATTAGAGACCAGTCAGGTACATGGTTGCGTGGTTTCACCTATACCATCGGAAACTGCTCACCATTTGAAGCTGAATCCTGGGCCCTGCTGAAAGGCATCCAACTCACACTAGCTATGGGCTACAATAAGGTGATCTTTGAATCTGACTGTGAGGAGGTAGTAGCTTACTTTACAGAATCAAAACTCCCATGCATCACGGCTCACAATATCCTTGAGGCATGTAAGAAGGAGCTTCGTAGAATACAAGTCTGGCAGATCAACATCATTCTTCGGGAGCAGAACCGGGTAGCAGACAACATCGCGAACCTCGCCAGGCATTTGCCGGCCGGCCTCCATGTGCTTATAGACCCACCGGCGACACTCGGTGCCCTTTTGGATGACGATACTTCCGAGCTTCCTCTGTGGCGTTTTGTCCAGGAACCTGTCAATAGCATGTAATATAGCCTGTCTTCCTTGGGTATCACCCTTCCAGCAGATATAAAAAAAAAAAAAAATGTTTCAATAAATTAAATAAGAGAAATAATTTCATTAGTTATATTGTCTTTAATTTATTTTTCTCCAAAGTAAAACTTCTTTACATTCAAATTAATCAATTAATTATATTCACTACATTGTCTATTATCTTTTTTGTGCACTATTTTTTAATTAAATATCAAAGTTATAATACAAAATAATGCTATATATTTATTTACCAAGTATTTTACTAAATACCATGAAAAAATTAGAAAAACATAATTAATAAAGCCAGCCATATTAACTACTTGAGGGATTTGTTGACAAAGAGAGTATTCAAATCACACAACAAATTGAAGTGAGAACTACATCGCAATGTCCTTGTTTGATAATCAGCAGTTAGCGGTTAGCGTTAGCGGATTTGACCAGCGAATTATATCAACAGTTGGTAAAAAGATATTTGAAGAAATTAGCCCCCGTTTAGATTAACATGTAAAATGACGTAAGGGTATACATATAAAAATAAAAATAATAATAATAATAATAATAATAATAATTGTTATAAAAAATAAAAATAAAAAGTATAATTAAACCAATCATATTAACTACTTGGGAGATTTATTGACAAAAAGAGTATTCAAATAACACAACAAATTAAAGTGAGAAACTATCTCGCAATGTCCTTGTTTGGCAATCAGCAGTTAGCTCTTCAATATGAGTATATATTTAATATTTTATGCCCTAATTTTTATTTGCTCCCCCTTATTTTTCGTATTTGGTTTCAACCATACCCATACAATTATTTTATTGACAATTATAATCAATCTTGACTATATTATCTTGCATTTATAAACTTAGAATTACCTATTTAAATACGCAAATTCAACATTCAATTATCTATGCATGAACAATTCCAATATAATTTTGCATTGATATATTTTATAGTACTTATTTTAAAAAAAAAAACATTGGGCATTATCTCAATCGCGCAATGCGCGTAAAAAAACTAGTATATATAATAAGTTAACATACAATATATATATTTTTAAATAATTAAAATTAAAATGGCAAAAGTTATAAATATCCAAGGTTATCTTACATT